AAGGGTTTCTCTGGTACCCTAGAAATAGAATTGCTGGGTCATATAGGGTTGGCTATTTTGGATGTTGATAAATGTTACCATACCACTCTTTAAATAGTTTGTATCAATTTATGCCCCCACAACAAAGTGTGAATGTCTATGTTGCTATACCCTTTTCTCTAAAGTGTTATGAAACTTCTTTTAATCAAACTAATATGTGAAAATTGGCATCTCGTTGTATTTTGCACCTTTTATAGTAAGTGGGTTTTTATTGAAACGACTTTTTAAAAATGCCCTGTTTAATTATACATTTATATGGAGGGACTGAAAGCAAGATCATTGGCATAAATGTTAGATTAGAGATGTGAGAGCCTCTCAGTACCCAGACTATGGGTATTTGACGATGCATGATTTCTGGAATCTGACATCTGGGTTTCTTAATGGAGCTGAAAAAAACAAAAACAAAAACAAAAAACCTACTCTTCATCAAATGAAAAGTTGTGAGATCTCCTTGTAGGTCTTGAGGCATTAGTCTTTCAACCAAAGCTCTGACAGAATGCACAGATGTAACTCAGCTCTGTCTCCAGGAGACATAAATGAAGAAAAGTGAACACTTCCAAATTTCTCAGAGATAAAATCCTATACTGCTAGGGAGCTAGGAACTCACCAGTGATGGCTGCTCTGTGTTTCTGGAAGCTTACTCCTTAGAATGATGGGGAACTTAGTATTCTTTTATTCAATAAAATACATTGAATACCTAGGAGGTGCCAGCCTCTAGGTATATAAAATCTAGGAAGAACTGCATACAAGGAAGCAATTTCTCTAAATAGGGGTTGGATATAGAACCCCATGATAAGGACAAACATTTTAGGGTCTCACTGGATTATGCAGCTGGTAGGACAGACTAAAGTATTTTCCTTAGCTAGTGCTAAGAATGATTCCCTCAAAGTTACAGAGTAAAAATATCATTCTTTTCTCCTTCATCATCTCTGCATGGAGTGGTAGCTTCATTTGTGCACACAAACAGATCTTTATGTTTGGTCAATGGAAGGGAGGCTGACCTGACCAACTGGCTCCCATTTGGTCGTCATGAGTCTTCCCTTCTGTTTGGAGTCCTTTATTTAGCAAATGCTGCTACAACACAGCTGATTCTCAGGGAGGGACCGAACTTCTCTTTTGAAATTCTCACCCAAGGAGGAATTCATATCCTTTCTTTTGTTCCCCTGAGGGTAGCAGAGATGACTGAAACTTTCAAAATGATTTATACTACTAAAGGACAACATGATGAAACACAGACTTTATCCAACTTGCTTCAAGGCTCATAGTCTCTGTCCCATTTCCCATCCAGTCTGAGAATCTACCTTTTTCATTCGTGGGATTTTCCCTTCTCGTTGAAGCATTCTAGCCACAGACTTTCAGGGAGAAAGAGAAGGTGGTATGTAAGTGAGTTGACTCTCAAAACCACGGTTCAAATCTAACCCTTCTTCAGAAGTCCATGAACAAGGAAAGTAACCTTTGAACTAGTGCCTCAATTCTCCCCTTGCTACAGGTGGGTCAAAGGTATTTCCTTACACTGCTTTGCCTTTCTTCACGTTTCCAGCATTTCTGATTCAAGACTATTCTTGGTATTCTTTTAAGACCAGATTCATCTGCACATCTGAGCATGAAATTCAATTTTCTGACTCAGAACCTTTCTAAACTCTCCACAAAAAAAAGGGGGTAAGATGTTTTCTAATAGCATTTTAAAGGTGTAAATACTTATAGAATCCCTAGAACAATATTCTTAATGTTTTGATTAATGCCTATACCAATAAATATGACCATAAGTGTTTAAAACGTGATAATTATATGATAACTTAGCCTTTTTGGCTTTACTAATGAAAGGCAGCAGTAACTAAAATCAGTGTCTACACATAAAGTGGGAGAAGCCATGTTCTTGGTAAATGTGGTAACTAGTTCAATTCAGGTTATCATTCCCTGGCCAGTTATCACCTGCATTTATTGGGAGCCTAAGTACAGAGAACTGTATCATCAGGAACTGTGGTAACAGTAATAACTATTTCACTGACTCAACAGTTACTCATCGAGTGCCTCTTATTCACTCAGGCAATCAATGCCAGATACTGGGAAGGATAGAGAGAATATAATCACAACCTTCAAGTGGGGGGAGGCAGGGATGGTGGTGAACAATATACTCAAAGACAGAATTATAAGTAAGGATACAGAACAATCACATGAGATTTCAAAAGGGACCAAAAGTCTAATTGTCAAATGTTTGGTACAAAAAGTCAGGGTTATAATGTAATCTTTATGGTCTTCAATAAGACCACAAAAAGATACCATTTACACTCCCTCCCCCCCAAAAAGTCTTAGTCATACCAAGAGTTGGCGTTATTTATACAACTAAATATTTGCATAATCTACTATTCAATAATCCATGTAACAAGAGATACTCTTGTACAAGAAACACACTAAAGGATGTTTATGGAGGCACACAGCAGAAACTGGAAACAATCTAAATACATTTTGATAGAACAGATTTTAAAAATTGGTGGTATACTCTCCCAAAGGAATATTATTCAGCAATGAAAATAAACGAATTCCAGCTACATGTAGCAATATGGATATCTTAGTAACATATGTAGTGCAAAAATTGTTCCAGAAAACCACAGAGATGATACTCTACATAATGCCTATAAAAGGTAAAACTGACAACACATCCCATAGGCATATATATACATATACATATATATATGTATATGGTTAAACTATATAGAAGATTTAAAAACAAACAAAGCAATGTTTAAAAATTTAGGAGAGGCACAGGGACCACCTCCGGGAGAAGCACACAGGGCGACATAATTTATTGGTAATATTTTTTAAAGATTTTATTTATTTATTTATTTGACAGAGCGAAAGAGGGAACACAAGCAGCAGGGCAGGGGGAGAGGGAGAAGCAGGCTTCCCACTGAGCAGGGAGTTCGATGTGGGGCTCGATCCCAGGACCCTGGGATCATGACCGGAGCCGAAGGCAGATGCTTAACAACTGAGCCACCCAGGCGCCCCTTTATTGGTAATGTTTTAATACTTGGGTTAGGTAATGAGTTCCAGCTGTTCATTATGCTCTTATTTTTAAAAATGTAATTGTTCTATAGGATCAGGAAGAGGAAAGGTTACTGAAGTATTGTGGACAATTTAGTATTAAGCTGAAACAAGAAAATGAACAGGATATGGTTTTGGTTATTAAGGTGTTTATAACTTAAAGGGGCAATTTGACACACTCAACTGATAATTTTGTGTGCTTCTCTAAACCTGCTCTATGACATAAATAAACTCAAAAGTCCTTGATTTCATGCTTAATCACATTGTAGGCCTCCATCCGGGATAGCAGGAGGTGAAATCTTTCATAAAGTTCATCATTAAAAATTTAAAAAATGTGTATTTCTGGAGAATCTTGGGTAAATGCTTTAATGTTGCATACACATCCTTCTTGCCTCATGTCACCCAAGTCTCTGATCTGGCTTCCAAATGATGCTTTACTCTCTCATTTCTCACTTCTTGCCTTGTGCAGATCCTACTGTTGCTTTGACCTGAGGAAACATCACTACCTCATCTCTCAATTTCCACAGTGGTAGCTGGGAATAGGTTTTAACATTTAAAAAGATTTCTAATTGTTTGGGGATGAAGCATGAAATAATTATAACATAAAGAACCTCAAGCTGCTTTCAGAGTCCAAATGCACCAACCCCTGCACAAGACACTATGGGTGCCTCTTTTCCTAGCTTCTAGCTGATCCCAGTGCAACAAGGATCGGTGTATTTCTCCTCAATGGCAGGACTCAAGTGAGTGCCTCTTTCCTGGGAGCCTAAAGAGGGGAAATTGTTTCCCCTTATTCCAGGCTAAAGTTCATCTCCTTATCTACTGCCCCAGGATCTATCCTCCTTTTAGGAAAATTGACAGTGGTATATAATTCACTCCCTTCAGGAATATTTTAACTCTGTTCATATTTGTGTGGTTTTACCCAATCTCAAACCGTCTCAATGACATTAAAATATTATTACTAGACAGCTGTGCATTTCCCGAAATCTGGATTACTCAGTTCTAAATAACAAGTAATGAAGAACAGTCTTGGAGAAAGTCAGGAAGTTTTTTTCATTCCTTTATTCCTCTGCTCCTCAATCTCTGCAAGCAATTGATCAAAGAGCAATACACGCAGTGTTGGAAAATACAATTCAGAGGCAAAAAGCATTCTAAAGTCACATATTTCACTCTCAAACGGAATTTTTCAGACTTATACCTGCAGAAAGATCACACTATTTACAGTACTAAAAGAACATACCTTCTCACCCTGAATTCACCTTACCCCAGGTCCTTCAGGAATATCTGGTGAACTGGGGACCACGTGAGTTCGACTTGCATTTTGCTTAGTCTCCGCCATTTAAGGCAAAAGTTGCTTGCAACTTTTAAAATAGCACTCCCTCATCCCTAGATTTCAACACTTCCCTCCACAAAATGTAGAGTTCAGTCTGAGCCAAGGCACTTATTACGTAAAAACGCTTATTTAAAACCAATACTTTAGGTAAGAGAGAAGGAAAGAGTATATAGAGCAACGCTACCTTATCCCCCAAAAAGGCTTCCGGAATTTAGTAGCCTTTTCCTTTTACACACTCACAGGTTCGTCCTGTCTCATAAACGCTATTAGGAACTCCTTGCTCACAAACTGATCCATCCCCATTCCCAGCAGTGCTTGGAAGAAGCGTAGGCGGCCAATAATGAATGAATTAGTTTGTGGAAGGAAGGCGGGAAAAAAGGATTCGTTTTTTCGAGACATGGCTAGGAGAATTACAATGGTCGCAAAACACCCAAAATTGGACAAATGCCCACTTTCGACCGGCTCTCAAGAGTCCAGAGCAGCAAACCACGCCCCGCCCACGGGCGACAGACACGAATCTCAAGCTTTCAGGAAAACCGGAAGTGCCTGGTCACGCCTTGCGCATGCGTGCACCATTCGGCTCACACTGCTACACTCCGTCATCCAGTGAGAAAGCAGAGACTTCGGCCCACGCAGGCCCGGGCACAGTCAGCCCCGTGGCCCTGCCGCTGCGCATGCGTCGTGGGTTGGCCTCCCGCTGTGAGGCGGAGCGAAAGGACAGATTTTTTTTTTTTTTTTTTGCTTGTTCCCGCCCCTCTTCTTCCCCCACCTGCCACGTACTGGGTCCGAGATCTCGCTAGGCTTGGTGGGTCCGTGCGATTGGCCCGGGCCCGCGCGAGCTTACTAGCGAGGTGCGGCGGTGCCGGCGGAGGGCACCGGAGTGGGCCGTGACCGCAGCCATCCCACGACGCCCCGGAGCCAGCCCGGCGTCGGCCTCGCACCGGTCAGGTCAGCGGAGATCCGCGGGGAGGCGGCCGCGGCAGCCTCGGCAAGCCGGTATGGCGGCTGGGGACGGGGGCGCGGCCGCTCTCTCGACAAGGCGGGCCGGCAGACGAGGAAGCGCTGGGAGGGCCTCGTTCGAACCGGCGGGTACCGGGCGGGGGGCCGTGGGAAGGGACTGGGGCCCGGGAGGGCCGTCGAGGGGGGAAGGGAAGCTGTGGAGGGGGAGGGGATGGGAGTCCCGCAGGCCACGGTGGCAGGGAGGCGGGCCTCAGGGGTCTCTTGGGGTTGTTTGGGCTAGCAAGTGCTCTCTCCGAGTCTGCCTGGCTCCATGGGGTTGGACTGCCAGATGAGGAGAGGAGAGGTGCTTTGTGAGGCCTGGGGTGGTCGAGCACTTAGCCCCCAGAGGGCCTTGAAAGGTGAGAAGGTTGAAGAATAGCGCCTATGGGAATAAGTTTATTGGGGTCACCTAAGAGGAACCTTGTTCCTTAGCTCTGTCAGGGCTTAAGCGCCGTCCGGAGGCCCAACCCAGTTTTATAGTGATGATGATAGCGAACTTTGTTTACTTTACTATGAACTGTACTAAGTATTTTAGATGCATAATATCATTTACTCATCACAAAGATCCTTTAAGTTTAGATACTCTTATTTTGCATATGATGAAAGTGAGGCTTGGAGAGGTACTTGCCTAAGGTCACAGGGCTGGTAGTGGGAATCTTCCATCTTACTAGTCAGGCAGGATTTATGACTCCTTTGATTCTTTGGAATAATCAAGGGTTGATTTTGCTTGAATTTCTTAAAATTGCTACGCTGTGAAGGTGCCTAAGCAGGCCCCTCTGAATTCGTGCGGTACTTTACCCACAGGGTTAGTGGAACTGGAGGTTTGGCCACTGAACCTAGATTCTGGTTCCGGAGACAGGCTTTTTATGTGCCTCTGGGCATGTCGCTTTATTCTTCAGTGCTAAAAACAGTGTTCCTGTTGGAGGGTTTGGTAAATTAGTGGCTGTGTCATTTCTGGACTTCAGAGGGAGTGGGGTATGGACAAGATGGGAGAAGAAAATCCTGTAAGGATCTCCCCAGCAGTCCTGGCAACTAGTAGTTCATACCAGTCTCTACCTGGTGACTGGAGTTAGAGAAAAAGGGGACCTGAATTCTGTTACATAAGAAAATGTGGGAATGGGATTTCTCCAGGAAAGGAAATTTTGTGGTGTCCTTAGTTTTGTGATGATTGTGTGCATGTCTTGAGGAGATGTCTCTACAAACTGGGGACAGCCTTCTGAAAGAAGCCCTGGTTCCTGGCCACAGGGAGTTTACAGTGCATGGGAAACACCAAGGAATAAGTGAATTTGCAGGCAAATGTGGCAGATTCAAAGTAAAACAGACTAATGTTTTCAGATCCATTGGAACTGAGCAGTGAACAATCCTCCCACAATCAAAAGGACGTGCTATTCATTACATCTGATGTTGGAAATTTCTCTTAATTAGGAGTATGTTTGTTGGGGATCACTTCTGGCTACATAAAAAAGGTACAATGTGAAGGTCTGACTTAGGAACTGACCCTAACAGTACAGCTTTCTTCTCCCAGTTCCTTATCAGAACTTTATTATTTCTCATTCATCTTTTGTTCAGGGAACAAAAACAAGTCTTTAAATACCTACTATATGCCAGGCACTATTCTAGGTGCTTTTAAGAGTAGATAATAACATTTTGCTGAAGCTAAGCTGTGGTCCTTAACTATGTTATTGCTGGTTTACACATCCCGTGGGTAGGAGGAATAACATATTGATTTACTGAAGTTCTTTATTTCTTTCAGACTGGAAGGTAAACAAGGTGGAATCTTTACCATTTTGTTGAAGTGATTATACTTCAGAGCTTGGCGCATAGTAGGTATTAAGTAAATGTTTCCTGAATGAAGAGGGTAGTTTGGCTAACAGGCGAAGAGGTTTTATGGAGGTTTCAGTTAATCACAGTGTTCATGAGAAGTCCACTGTGAGCATTGGCAGATAAAAAACTATTCTATTTTACTTTAAGACAAGCTTAACATCCCTGTGTAGGAACACAATCCACTTTGTTCTGAACTGACCTTAGAGTGTTAGATATAGTATTTAATGCCCCATTTTAAAATATATTATTAATAAAGCTCTGAAATACAAGTATTAAAAAAAAAAAGAGTAGAAAGAAGCAAGGGGAAGGACAAATTGTGGAGGGTATTTAATATTAGGCTAAAGGGAGCTTGAATTTCATCCTGCTGAAAAAGGGAAAATCTGAGGATATAGGCCTTCAGGTTTGACTTTGGATCCTCACTAAATGGCAAAATTTTTAAAAATCTGTTATAACAACTGGGAAGTTTATTTCCAAGCTATCAGTATGTGATTTGTGGGTCAGTGCATCATGGAAAAAGAGTATACTTTTCTAAGATAAAAAGGAAGGAAAAATATTATTAATAAATGTAATCTCTTCAAAATATGGCAAGGAGGACTAGAGACATTCATTTAAGGAGTAGTTAGAAGGACATAAATATGGAATCTAATCATATACACCCACTAAGGTTTGGGGAGGGGTGAGTTACAGAATATTAAGAGACAATAGTGCGCAGTCTTACTAGAAAGCTCAGGAGGATGTCACTCATTTGCCTTTTCTCCTTAAGTTCCCCAAATAGGAAAACTAGAGAAAATATTAGTGTAGTCTTTTTTACTTTAGAGAGAAAAATGTGAGACTCTATTTTAGTGTTCACACATGCTTTTCAGGGTTGTCATTTAGTTATAGGCTAATAGAGTGTGGAAGCCAGTATTTATTTGTCCTTCATGCAACAAAATTGAATGACTACCGTGTGCTAGGTATTGTTCTAGACTCGGGAATACAGTGAACAAAACCATTTACTTCTTTATTTTTTAGTAGGAAAGGCAATACAAAATTAATAAATTCTTAATGTCTGGTAGTGATAAGTGCTTTGAAGAAAATAGAAGCAGGGTAAGAAAGTGAAAGAGGATCCATTTTAGTTTAGGTGGTCAGGACAAACCTCTGAGAAGTAAACATTTGATCAGAGATCTGAATCATGGGAGTTGTGAAAAAGGCTCATGACAAAGGGAACAGCAAGTGCAAAGCCTTGAGTTGAGAAGGATAACTTAAAATATGGGTGCAGCAGTGTAACCGGGGAGAAAAGTAGGAAATGAGGTGAAATACTTGGCTAGGGGCCAGAGGCCAGATCCTGACCTTGTAGTTCTGTCCTTTACTAAAAGTGAGCTGTGACTCTATTGGGAGATTTTAAGCAGAGTGACATTAGATTTTATTTTAACAGGATAACTCTGATGTTGAGAATGGATTAAAAGTAGGCAAAGGTAAAAAAGCAGGCAGACCAGTTAGGAGTCTTTTGCAGTAATGCAGGCGAGAAATGATAGTGGCTTGGATCAAGTTGGTAGAGGTAAAGGTACTGAAGGGATTGGAATATAGAGAGATTTTAAAAGTAGTGGCAACTAGATTTTTGGCTATTTGATGGACTTTTTTTTTTTAAATCATGAACAGCTAGAAGGAAGAAATTGTTACTGAGATAGAGACTACAGGAGAAGCAGATTTTGTGGGGAAGATCAGGAGTTTGTTTTTGGACATCTTAAGTTAGAAATCTAAATGGTAATGTCAGATAAGCAGTTAGGTATGTGGGTAAAATAATAATAGACAAAAACAATAAAACTTGTTTTTTTAGGCACATAATAAAGTTATCTCTGGACTGTTTTAACCTGGTAACGTTCGAACGGTGACTCTATTTTGAAGGGCAGAATTTCTTAGATTCTAATAGTAGTGTTGCTTTTCAACTTTTAAGATAAGTTTTTATAGCTGTTTAATCATCAAAACGATTTTATCAGTCTTTCCGTAGAGTTGTATGTACACAACATCCTGGAGTCCACCATGAATGGACAGTTGGACCTAAGTGGGAAGCTAATCATCAAAGCTCAACTTGGGGAGGATATTCGACGAATTCCAATTCATAATGAAGATATTACTTACGATGAATTAGTGCTAATGATGCAACGAGTTTTCAGAGGAAAACTCCTGAGTAATGATGAAGTTACAATAAAGTATAAAGATGAAGGTAAGATTGTTTCTAAAATTAGTCATTAGAAGTCTAGGTATGTGGGGTTTTTTTTCCTATGTTTTATTGAACTATCTCAATAAAAATTTTGTTCCCTTCTGTAGTAATTGAGTACCACTTAACTTAATTGGATGTTTATGTAGTTAATTATAATTCTTTTATAAGTTAAATAGATAAGTGATTTATTATTAGAAATGGGGTTTTAAGTGATAGAACTTTCATATATAGTTTTACAAGCATTTTTTTTTCTTTTTTGCTCATGCAATTCTGGTTTCCTTTTTGCTTTTAAAACCAAACTTTCACTCATCAGTAGGTATTGAATGAAAAAGATTTTCATGGCCCACTAAGTGTGGGAAAGCTGGTTGAAACAGAAATGTGTTTCTTTACTGCAGGAATTTTCAGAACATGTAATATGCTGACGTACATTGTCAGTTTATGGTATGTAATGTCCCTAGACTCATCTTACCACAAAACCATTTTTATGGTAATGGATTTTACATGACAAATGTTGCATGAAACACACAGCACAATTTTTTTTTTTTTTAAAGATTTTATTTATTTATTTAATTGACAGAGAGAGAGACAGCGAGAGAGGGAACACAAGCAGGGGGAGGGTCAGAGGGAGAAGCAGGCTTCCTGCGGAGCAGGGAGCCTGATGCAGGGCTCGATCCCAGGACCCTGAGATCATGACCTGAGCTGAAGGCAGTCGCTTAACCAACTGAACCACCCAGGCGCCCCCACACAGCAGAATTTTAATAGGAGATTATCTTTATTTCATTTTCTTTAAACCTGTTTTCTTTATAAACACCTTTACTGAAATTGTGCTTTAGGTGGTTACTAGTTTCTTTCTTACCACTGAATTTATTTTCAGTCTGTTTCACCTCGATCTCAGTACTTGGCACTGCTACCCGTACCATCTTTTTAAAAAAATACTCTTATCCCTTAACATCTCTGCCACTGCTGCCCTAGTTTTCTTATCACTTACAGCTGCTTCTCTGTGTCTCTGTGTGCTGGCTTAAAGTAATACCAGCTGTTGATAATAGAAATGTTAAAATTTCAGTGGTTTAACACTCAAGGAATCATTTAGAGACCCAGGTTGCCAGAAGCTCTCTAGTGTTCACATGGCTTACAAGCTCACCTTGAGCATTAACATCCAGCAGGCAGTTGGAGGAAGACAAAGTGTAGAGGATTACATGGGGGATTGTAGTCTCTCGGCCTTGAGGTAATGTATGTCATTTCTGCTCACATCACATTGGCCAGACCCTAGTCACATGACTCTGCTGAGAGGTCAGTGGCTTTGGGTATGTCCCTGGTTGGCCCACTTTCCAACAACCTACACTGTGGAAGGAGAGTATAAATCACTGAGGATCAGCTAAACTGGCCATTTAGCTGCAGGTATAATTCTTTTTTTATAAAGTATGATCGAACGGTACCCAAAACTCATTTTTAGTTACCTGTTTTAAAGGACAGAAAAGGAGAGCAATTTCTTCCTGTTCTCTTCCCTAGTATAATCTCATCTACTTAAAATACATTGGCTTTCACTTCTGACTTCCAAATGTGTGTCTTAATTTACCTCAAACTTGGTATAACTTAAACTGACATTATTTATCTGGCTTTCTCTTAACTCCCTTATTTTTGTTTAGGGCAAAGGTTGGCAAACTTGCTTTAAAAGATCAGATAATATCTTAGCACTGTGGGTCATTGAAGACCTCTATTTTGTCTATTTTTCTTTAAAACCTTTTAAAAAATGCAAAAACCGTGCTTGGTTCACAGTCCTATAAACAAGGATTTTGACCATTGGTCTCAGTTTATGGACCCCTCGCTTAGGGTGTTCTCATGGTTGAAAGTTTGTTCTCCATCTACATCCAGTTACCACATTGAATTTCTTTTTCCGTGGTGTTTCTAAGTGTTTTGTACAGATTTGTGTTCCATAGACTGTTGGGTACTAGGGTGGAGGACTGGCTTAGGTAAAGTTTTTGCTATATATATTCTAGTTCTGTTGTGAAATTCAGAAAATAAAAAAGGTAGTTAGAGAAGGTTTCCTTTTACATACATACTTTATTAAAAATATGTTTAGAATTCCTGAAGTTGAACATTAGATACGTTCTAAGAAGTGGGTCTGGTTATAAAGATCTAAAAACAATGATAAAATTCTCAGTTGTGGCTTTTGTTGCCACCTTTGTTCAAAATAAATCTGTCTAATCAGTGTTAAAATTGGTGTAGCGGAGCATCCTCCCCAGGACAGAACTGTCATCCTCACGCCCCGAACCCACCTGTGTCTATGAAGATACCTGGCAGAGGCCCCTGATCAACTCCTTGCATGTGGCTGCTTTTCTGTTCTTGTTCTCTCTAGAGAACATTTTTCCCCTAGTCCTTTGAAAGCTTTTGAAACAGGCAGCTGATTATAATATTCTTTAACCTTGATCTAGGAGATTACAGAATCTTGTGTATATAAATATTTTTTCTAAGGAGAGTTAATAGTTTTCATCTTAGTATCAAAATGGTCAGTAATCCTTTTAGTTACTGTTATAATAGCTTCCCCTCGCTTTGTGTCAGTGGTGTTTTACCGTACTTAGGATTAAAATTTGAATCTTGAGAATCTGTACTTCTTTAACTTTTGATAAATATATTTAAATTTTTTGGAATGGAAAGATTTTAGTCTAAACCAGTAATTTATTATATTGCTATCATGAATATCCTGGTGACTTGTAAAAGATCAGTTAATACAGCAGTCTTAGTCATGTTTTGGTTCTTCTTATGAGGATATGACAAATAACCTTGATATAAAAGTGATAAGCAAAATTGATACAGTATTCTTTTGAACAAATACATCTTTCCTAGATCCTTTAATGTTTGCCTAAAGTTTTTATGGGAGATTCTAATTATGCTCTGTGATCTACATTTAGATTTTAATTTAATGTATATCCTGGTTTACTCCTGACACACAAATCTGAAACTTCTTTTTTTTTAAATTCCAGATGGAGATCTTATAACAATTTTTGATAGTTCTGACCTTTCTTTTGCAATTCAGTGTAGTAGAATACTGAAACTGACATTATTTGGTAAGTGGTAAACCTTCTAATAAATTTACTATATTGTCCATTGTATTTTTCTTGAAGACTTTTTAGCTTTTCTCCTTTTATTTTTATTTTTTTAAAGATTTTATTTATTTGAGAGAGAGAGCACGAGTGGTGGGGAGGAGCAGAGGGAGAGGGAGAAGCAGACTCCCCTGTGAGCAGGGAGCCCAATGTGGGGCACTGTCTCTGGACTCCAGGATCATGACCTGAGCTGAAGGCAGATGCTTAACTGGCTGAGCCACCCAAGCACCCAGCTTTACTCCTTTTAAAGACTCAGAATTAAGTAATAACTTTTTCAGCTATATCTGAAATTTTGAATTATCAGGCCTAATTATATATATATATTTTTGAAGATTAATAGGAAGTAGGCATGTTTAAATTCTCCATCTGCTCAGTACCTTATGTAGCAATGGATGCCACATATAGAAGTATTTCCAGGATTGGAAATAATTACAGGGTTAAAACTACTTTTATTAAATTTTAGTTTTATTAAGTTTATTCATTTTATTAAGTTTTAGTATATATAATTATCTTCTATAACATGTTTTTACTTCTCAGAGCTTAACATATAGGCCTCATACTGTAGACATTATTTTTTGAGGAGTAAAGATTAAATTAGAAGTAGATTTGATAAAAAAATGAATATAAGCTTAATTATAATCTTTAGATTTTGTTTTCTTATTGACATTAACAAATTTGTGAGGTGTAACTCTTAAGGGATAAAATAGAAATGATTACAGAGTTAAAGTGGTAGTATGATTATGTAAAAAATAAAATCTGGGCTTTTTTTCTGGATGTTTTGTTTAACATTTTCAAAAAGTTACATGGCACTGAACCTTACAGTTCCATGAAACATGATGTTGGCCAGTTGGTTTAATTTGTATTTATTTCATGTCCATCTAGGAAGGATGAATGTGAATCAGATTTTAAAATGCTAATAACAAATAAAAACTGCTTAAAATTTTTTTAGATAAAAGGTATTGTTTTACAGTATTGAATCTGAGATACTTAACCACTATTGCCCTGAAGGTTTGATAAACTGAAAACCTTCCTTCCAGAAATACTGAGGACAAGGTAGATCAACTATTATAAATGTGTTTTTTGATATATATACCTGAACTTGCTCAGGAGAGTAAGAGAAATGTCCAGGGACCAAAAGATAGGTGAAATTAAAAACCAGGACTAGAAGGACCAAGGGCTGAGACTTGGTATACTTTTGGTGGTGATGGTCAAGGTTTTATTCTGCATAATCTAAGGACTAATGATTTGGTGTTTACATGGTAGAGACCTTGGGTCCTAGACCCTCAGTGAACTATACTCTAAAAAAGAATATTATAAAAGGAAAATACCTCTTCATTGATACAGGAAAAGTCAAGGAATTGATACAGGAAACTCCTGTACCCTGGGGCTGTTGGGTTTGTGAAGGCTTCTTTAAGGATTTATAACTGTGGTCCCTAGGTGGGCTGGGTTTAAGTTTAAACTATCTGCATAGTTTGGGAACTTGCAAGCCCAGATACTACCATAAAAAAATGCTAAGAAACAGAGGTAGAAATCTCTTAGAAGGAGTGTGTTCTCAATCCAGGTCACAGGCTTCTCCTAGACAGAATCCTGTTGGTAAATTTAGAGTTCAAGTAAGACATGAAACAGTCCATGTAAGCAAGAAACAATGGCCAAAACTAGTAGTAGGAGGAGACTTCTAAGAACTTTAGTTTGTAGAAGTGTTCATCTGTAAAATATGCACTAAAAGTTATTAGATATAAAAGAAAAAAATGTAAGAACAAGGCACTAATGAAAAAAGAATAAACAGATTTTAAAAACAAATCAAGGTAACTTTTGGAAATGAAAAATATCATGAAAATTAAATACAAAGTGGAAAGGTAGAACAACAGATTAGTCACAGTTGAAGAGACAATTAGTGAACTGGAAGGTAAGCTAAAGAAATTACAGAATCAAGCACAAAAACAGAGATGAAGAATATGAGATAGGATTTGAGAATGAGAAAGTCCAGCCTATTTCCATTAAGACTTTAAAGAAGGAGATAATGGGGAATGGAAATATTTGAGGAGGTAATGGCTAAAGAAATTTTCAGAATTATATAAAAGAAATAAGCTATCAGATTCAGGAGGCACAGTGAGTCCTGAGCAGGATAAGTAAAAATAAAACTCCACTGGACATGCTGTCATGAAACTGGGAAATATGTAAGGCAAAGAGATCTTAAAAAGTAGCCTGAGAGAAAAAGAATGATCACCTACAAAGCAATTAGGGTAGACTTCTTCATAGTAATAATAGAAGCTAGAGATAGTAAAGTAACATTTTCAGACTGTTAGAAAAAAAATAACTGGGAAAGTACCTTTCTGTATTCTGCTAAGCTTGAGGAATAAGGGGAGATAAAACACATTCTCCGGGCACTTGGGTGGCTCAGTTGGTTAAGTGTCTGACTAGATTTTGGCTCAGGTCATGATCTCAGGGTCATGAGATCAGCCCCTCATTGGGCTCTGTGCTTGGTGTGGAGCCTGCTTAAGATTCTTTCTCTCCCTCTCCCCTGCTTCTGCACCCCTCATGTGCTTGCTGTCAAAAAAATAAAAATAAATAAAAATTTAAAAAAATTTTCAAATAAAGACTGAGATTTACCACTCATGGGCCCTGTTAAAAGAATTTTTTAAAAATAGTTCTTCAGCAAGAAGGAAATTGAGTCCAGAAGAATGGTGAAACATGCAAGAGATTGTGAGCAAATAAACTTGTTAACATGTACATTTAAATGAGCACTGATATAAAAAAAATAGCTTTAGGAATATAAAAACAAGATGAGACAAAAATGCTGATTATATGCAAGACAGAAGGGGATGATAGGAATTAAAATATTTTAAAAACTTGTATTTGGGAAGAGGATACTAATTAACTTTAGATTTTAAAAAATTGAAGTATACATGTCTGAAATGTAAGAGTGATTCGAGAAAGACTAGAAATAACCACTAGAGGGAAAAGGAGGAAACAGTACCTACGTGGTTCACTAGACGATGAGGAAAAGAAGCAGAGAGAAAGCTTGATAAGTAGAAAGCACAAAGTACTAACTAAAATACACATAAATGGACAAAATGTACATGTTAAAAGATAGCCTCTCCCTGGAGTTAAACAAAATCTAGTTACACGCTGATTATAACTGGGTGATGGACATTAAAGAGGGCATGTGCTTTTATGAGCAGTGGGTGTTACACGCAGTTGATGAATTACTGAACACTACATCTGAAACTAATGATGCACTATATGTTGGCTAATTGAATTTAAATAAAAAAAAGAGACGTAGTAAAATACCATGCAAAGTTTGAAAACGGCTAAAAAATATACTAGACAAACTCAAAGCTAGCTGGTAATACTAATAGAATGGACTCTAAGTGAAAAATTCATTAATAATAGTCACTTCATAATGATAAAAAGTATAATTCACTGGGAATATGTAACAATTCTGAACACTAATGCAACATAGCCTTAGATTTTTCCCTAAGGAAAAATAAATTCACAATCATGGGAGAGCTTATGAGACTTCTTAGAAACTGGTAGATCAAGCAGGTTCCAAATTAGTAGGGATAGAGAAATTTTGAACAAATCAAATACTGGCTTGGTCTTACGCATCTAGCAATCAGAAAGGAGTATAGTTTTTTGGAGTACATATGGGCATTTGTAAAAGTTGACCATATAGTGGTTTTTCCAACAAATTTCAGTAAATATCGGAGAAGAGATATCCTAGAGGTTATATTCTCTGGCCTCATTAGAAACCACTGGACAAAAATAACACACATTATGGACTTCTTAAGATAAAAATACACTTTTAATTAACAAGTCAAAGAAGAAATTATAACGGGAATTAGAAGTAATTATTATGACTTTTATATAACAAAATTTTCAGCGTGTGCAAAGGTAAACTTATTTGTAGCATTCAATACAAGAAGGACAAATAACTTAGAAGGAAAAAATAATAAAGAGCCGAAGTGAGCTAGAAGTCAGGGAATTGATAGGATCAACAATTTTGAGAAGATACAAAGCAGCAAACCTCTATTAAGGTTAAAGTGAAGAAAGAAGAAGACACTAAAGCAATGTGAGGGATGAAAAGGGGCATACCACAAATACATTGCAGTGAGGCAGAATGAACACCATGAACAATGGGATGTCTCAGGAAAAGTATTAGAAAGGATTTTTCATAGGCTTGTGTTTATGTTAGATGATTTTTGGGCAAAATTCAAGGAAGTGGGACTTGCCCTAGATTGGATGCTGTTGGGAGGTGGGGATGGTCCTATGATTTGAGTATCTTACTAAGTCTTATGCAGAAGATGGAGGAATTAATTGAGGCTAAAGCTTCAATTGGTAAAACAGCAGTAGTCACTCATTTTAGCCATGGATGTTGGTCATTTTTGTGGTTTGGTCATTGTTCTTGTTTTGTCTCAGTTCTCACATGATTATGCAGTGGCTGTTTTTGTCTTCCTCTATCACACAGAGTGATCTTCTTTGATTGTTGGTGTTCTTTGAAGTTGTTCATGTTGACCAAGAGAACACCACAGCTTACTTGTGAGTGCCAGCCAGGCCAGCTTCTGGCAGCACAAAGGCCTGTCTTACAGGACTAGGCCAGTTCCTGCTTGCCAGGAGCTGCTTTTCTCCTTTTTAGATAGAGAAAACCCAGTAGTACCCTAAAAAGTGAGTAATTAATTGATGTAGGTAGGCGATTGTATTGAACTTCCTCATAACTATATAGGGAGTGCATAAAATAAGGTCGTCTTCACAAAACTTGTATCAGTGGTTTGATGTTTGCAACTTACCTAACAAAAAAAATCCCTGAGCCTTTATCTTCAAATGGATTTCCTTTTTAATTTGTTTCCTTGGGAATTTGTATATATGTGTACCAGCAATGCAAAAAGCCTTTTAGTTGAGTTCAATTTTTGGATTCCTATCTTGAAGCTTGCACTCAGAGCCTTGTCGTACTTTTTTTTTTAAAGTAACCTTAGTGATGATAGTCTTTGTTGCTGGATGAAGGATTTCTTTTTTTTTCCTTTTTTTATTTTTAAGTCAGCTGAAAGTCATTTCCACAAAATATTTAAATGAGGTAATGTTACCTTCATTTAAAAAAAACCCAATGATTATTAAATCATCTCTGACTTTTTGTGGTTAATATACTGCTTTTGGAAGTAACTGCTTTGAAGGACAGTGGTGATTTGGATTCATGAATTCTGCATTTTTTTTTTAATAGGTTACTTTTTAGGTCAGTTATTTTAGGTGGCTGTTTTTTTTTAGGTCAAAAGTAGGCAAGAGGGATAACAGAGCTGTCAGTCATGTTGCACATTTTAACACAAATGTATAGAATAAGGTGTTTAGGTGTTTATAATACTACTTCAAGAATATAAAAGAATAGTGTGATGAAAAAATGAGCTTTTGAAGGTACATAATTTCTGTTAAAAATACATTAAAACCTTAATTTAGTTTACTGTAGTTTATCCTAATAAAACTTTTTTTAACCATTATGATCATGGGTCATAGATGTGCATCAACCAAGACTGAGGAATATTTATTTTTTCCAAAAAATAAATTATTAGTAATAAAGAATCTTTCCTTAAAAAGTTATCATTTAAATGACATCATTAGGTATCTTGTTTGATTTTGTTTCACTTTTTAAAGAAATCACATTTGTTTTTCCTTATTGCTGTTATTGTGTTGATATATTATTTAAGAACATTGCCTAATTTTAAGCAAATTAATGCTTTTATTGCAGTTAATGGCCAACCAAGACCCCTTGAATCAAGTCAAGTGAAATATCTCCGTCGAGAGCTAATAGAACTGCGAAATAAAGTGAATCGCTTGTTGGATAGTTTGGAACCACCTGGAGAACCAGGACCTTCCACCAGTATTCCTGAAAATGGTAGACTGTGAATCCATTTTATTCTGCTTTTTCTTATGTCTTTTTAACAAAATTTATTAAGTTATTATTTTAATTCCAATATAGTTTACAGTATTAGTGTCTGGTGTACAATATAGTGATTCAACAATTCCATATATCACCCAGTGCTCATGAGACAAGTACACTCCTTAATCTCCATCACCTTAAGAATCTTTGTCTTTTCTTTTTTTTTTTCCCTTTGCTCATTTGTGTTCTTTCTTAAATTCCACATATGAGTGAAATCATATGGTATTGTCTCTTTGACTTTTTTTGCCTAGCATTATACTCTCTATATACTCATACCTTTTTGCAGATTTTTTTTTTTTTTTTAACTTTTTAAGTAGGAGTAGGTTGGCACTCCTGTTGTTACCTTTTCTTATTCTTGCCTCTGCTAGTATTCAAACCTGCCGTCCTTTAGGATTACCAGGAGATTTTATTTTACCAGTTCCTGGATCTTATTATAGACCTATTAGAAGGCAGGGCTCGGGAATCCCATTTTTAAAGTGCGCTCTGGTTGATTCTTTACAACTAGTTTTAAACCCCTGGATTTATGAATAGGTTAGTTTTCAAACCCCTTTGACTCTTTTGGACCCTTTTCATTTTAATAATTAATGCACCTTAGGAATTGCAATTATTTCATGAGTTTTATGTGGCATATGAAGTAGTTTTAAATAATTGAAGATTACTACATTCAAATGGTATATTGTAAAGTTTATCTTAAACACAATTTTTAATCATATGCAAAGAGAAACTTATTTTTTTTCCATTTTATAGATGACATGTACTGTTTATATTAAAGCAAGGTTTATTGACAAATTTGGAACTGATGTAAAGTTTTTGGACCAAATATATTTAACAGTGTAGACTGAGGTTTATGTATTAGGGCTTGAAAGTAGATTTTAAAAAAACTGCTTTCTTCAACTATTTTTTTTTTTTTTAAGATTTTATTTATTTGTCAGAGAGAGAGTGTGCACACAAGCAGGGAGAGGGGCTGGCAGAGGGAGAAGCAGGCTCCCCATGGAGCAAGGCACCCGATACGGAACTCAGTCCCAGGATGCTGGGATCTGAAGCTGAAGGCAGATGCTTAACTGACTGAGCCACCCAGGTGTCCCAATCTCTCTTCAATTTTTAATATTCTTAGATGTTGCACTTAAAAAATTTCTGTGGTTTCTTTTCTTTTTTTTTTTTTTTTTTTTTACAATTTTTGTGTTTGCATTTAAATTACATGCCTAAAACCGTCTATATTATGAAATAGTAATCTTTTTATAGCGTTACCCAGACTATAATGGGCTTAATAGAAGATGATTTTGTGGGAGGAGCGTCTGGGTGGCTCAGTCGTTAAGCATCTGCCTTCGGCTCAGGTCATGATTCCGGGGTCCTGGGATCAAGCCCCTGCTCTGCAGGAGGCCTGCTTCTCCCTCTCCCACTCCCCCTGCTTGTGTTCCCTCTCTCGCTGTGTCTCTCTCTGTCAAATAAATAAATAAAATCTTTAAAAAAAAAAAAAGATTTTGTAGGGAAGTGGGATTTTATAATCCCTTCCAGCCATTAGATTCTCAGAAATTGTATTTTTGGCTCCATTTAAAGTTTGGAGTTTTCTTTCTTTAGTTTAGATATAGTGTAAATAAAACTGCATTTTCTTTAATTTGCCTCTTCCTCTCTTCCTCCAGCTATGTGGAATTGTATTAATAGTAGATTCTCAATAAATATTTGGTGATTAGTAATTTCTAGTTCCACCTCTGTATTTCAGAACATATTGGAGATTGGCTGAACTACTATAATAAGATCTAACTGGCCTTTTTAAGATGAAACTTTTTATATTTCAGGTCAAAGCAAATGGCCTGGCAAAAAGCTCCAACTTTAGGTCAAGAATCTGAAAAAAACTTTTGACCATTTTGTCAGAAGAATCATAGATGCTGACACAACAATATTTGCTGATAATTTCAGGGGATTTAAGCATCTGTAGAATGTTACGAAACTTAGATGAAAATTCAGCAAGTGTGGCCAGTACTGTGCAGAAATAACCTATAGTAGCCTGTGTTCTGCTATAAGGAACAGAATTATAAGCTTTCGGGTTTGGTGAAACAACCTTTCTGTTCTCACATATTTCTTGCCACTATATTTACTACATCTCTTTATTAACCTTTTATTTTCATATGTTTTATTATTAACTTCTCACTGATGTTAATGTAGAAGATGTTGAAACTGGTTTCTTCTCTGCATCTTGGAAATTAAATCACATGTTGTTTCTTTGTGTGGCCTCCCTTCTTGTCAGGGTATCCTATCCCAGTTATCTAATGAGTTGAATAATACATTCTGTGCTTTAGTTTTACAGACGGTTGTAATTTATTTTTTGTTTCCTCTCCTGTGCTTAGCAAGATCACTTACCTCTTGACCACCTGCCTTCTATGAAATTGCCTAAGCTTCTAAGCTTTTAGAACATATCCGGACTTAATAATCAGGAAAATAGCATAAAATAAACCAAAAATATCCTACACCAGAAACTGAATGTCTAGTCTACAAAACAGTGTTGCCAGTCAGCTGTCAATACTCTTTAGAACAATATGGCTTGCCCTCACCCAGAAATATGTGGTTACCTATGTTCTTCAGTGGTCTACCTCTGCAGTCAATTCTTGGTTCTTGGACACTTTCTTCCTCTGTGAGGAACATGATGTAGGCTATCTTGGATACTGGATTGACCTGTTGCAGTAGCTGTAGCAGCTAATGGGCTAGTAGGAGCAACTAGTAGGCTAGTGGGCATATAGTATTGTGTTTCCTGATGGATTTAGTTTGTAGTAAGTAGAAGGATGCACAGGTAGTGGAAGGTAGTAGTGTGAGAGGGAATAACTTACAAGATTGGTGTGATACGCTTTTGGGGTGTAGCCTTGGAATTAGGAATTAGGAAGAAAATTGGTGGGGAAGATGAATACCTTATTTTAAAGGAGTACCTGTAGGAGTTTTCTTCCAGAAATGGAGGAAATATTAGTGTAACCAGAGGAATGATAGGGATGAATAGGAGCTGCAAGCCCATGTGTGCTTATATTCTATTTAGTACTTCCAGTTTTTCACAAGATAAATTTTGTCTTGATCACAGAGATAATCTGATAACTGATGTTCATTTACTTGGTAACAGAAAAAAGTAATTGTTAATTGAGTAAATGGTTAGCAATATTCTTTTTTGTTTACTTATTTTGTTTTTGATATCTTTTTTTAATTTTTGTTAGCTTTTTGGTTTCAGGTTCCTATTTGTAAAATGTGGGTTATTCTTGAATCCCTTTTCTTTCACAGTGTAGTGGTACAAATGCCTGTTGAGTACTTTAGTGTCCTTAGAAGAAAAGCATGGTTTTAAATTTACATGCTCATATTTAAAATTTTATTTTTCTATTTAAAAAAAATAATTCATTATGGAAAGATATACAAAAGTAGACATAGTACTCTAACGAATCTTGTGAACCCACCCCAACTTCAGTAATTATCAACTCATAGTATCATGTCATCTAGACTCCTATACATTTCCACCCCTATTATTTTGAGCAAATCTCAGACACATCATGATTTTCAACTGTAATAAAGTATTTTAAGGAAGACATAGCAAATTAAAAGGATGTGTTTCATGTATTAGTTGGTTCAAGATTTCCATATAATTAATAATAAACAAATAGACAAGTAGAAATAAAACATAAGAGTTGATCTCATAACTTCAGTTAAGCTTCTTTATCCTTTTGCAAAATGAAGCATTAGTGTTCAGTAAATATCTGATTGTAGGATATATGTCGGTCATGGGGCTCCAGAAAAGGGGACAAAGTGTTTTTCTCTGTTAAGGAGCTCGTATTTTTTTTTTCTTATGTAATAATTTTTAGGGAAGGAGATAGATAAAACTTTTTTGAAAAAGTTGGTTTTTATAATTTCTTTTTAATCCTTTTTTCTGATTTTAAAAAATCCAAGTATAAAGAGGAAAGTAGAATTAACAGTTATCCTGTGTTCAGAGATACTTACTTCTGAACATTTCAGACTATATGCACATATATTTTTCCCTATTTTGTATTTTTTAGGCCTCACTAAGTATAGATAAAATGGAAACAAGTTTTTGTTTATTCCTCTCATAGATACTGTGGATGGTAGGGATGAAAAGCCTGCTGCTTCTGATTCTTCTGGAAAACAGTCTACTCAGGTTATGGCAGCAAGTATGTCAGCTTTTGATCCTTTAAAAAACCAAGATGAAATCAATAAAAATGTCATGTCAGCATTTGGCTTAACAGATGATCAGGTTTCAGGTAAGTGAATTCCTCCCTCCCTCCCATCCTTCATTCCCTCTCTCCTTCCTTCCTTCTCCTTTCCTTCTTTAATAGAAGAATAACAGATACAGTGATGTGCACAAATCTTAAAGGTTCAGTTTAATAAATTTTTACTTTTGTATATACCTGTATAAAACACAAAGTAAGATCAAGATCTAGATGATTTCCAGCACCTGGAAAGCTTTCTTAAGCGCTCTCCCTGTCGTAGAACCCTACCCTATAAAGAATAACCACTGTTTGGTGTAGGTAAATTTTATCAAAAGTGGAATTCAGAAAGTTTATATTTTTTAAAAGAATCTGAACCATTTTATAATCTTATTTCAGATTTGTTGTAGGATTTAAATTATATTTGATGTCTTCTCTCTTTGGATGTTAAACTAGAGAAATTGAAATTTAAATGTAGATTTTTGGTTAAAGTGCTTTTGTGTGGAAACTGCTCTTGTATGAATGGTTTTAACCTTAAAACAGCACCTATACTATGATTTCTTCTTTTTACTTTTGGCTATCATTTCTTCAATATTTTTTTCTGCTTTCTCTCTCTTTGTATTCTGATTACACATACAGCTCTAGAATTTTCATTTGATTCTTTGTATAGTTTATTTTTTTCTTTTGAGATTCCTTACCTTTGCATTAAGACTGTATTTTCTTTTAACTCATTGATGCATTTTTAATTCTTTAAAAATACTTATCATTTTTAAAAATAAAAATATAATAGCTGCTCAATGTTTGTCTGCTTCATCCAACATCTGGGCCTATTTGGAGTCCACTTTCTTTTGCCTGCCTTTTTACTCTGAGTGTGGGTCACATTTTCCTTTTTCTTTGCATATCTGATAATTTTTTATTGAAAACTGGACATTACAGTTAATATGTTGTAGTGACTGATTTTTTGTTACTATTTCTCTGGCAAGGAGTTAACTTGTTTGGATTCAGACTATTCATTCTTTGTCCCCATGGAATATAGCAGCTAATATCTCTGCTCGGCCCTTTGAACTCTTGGTGCTGCTTTTTTTCCTGAGGCCTCTTAACGTGTCCACCTCTTAATTCTGTGGCCCACTGAGGATTTTAGGCAGAGTTTATACTTAGTTTTTAGGTCTCATTCCTTTGGTAGCTCTCTTAATGCAGGAATTTTCCCCTTCAAATTTCCAGCTAGTTGGCCAGCCATGAAGTTCACACTATGGCTTTCTTCTGTTGGGGCTGCAGAGGTCAGGGCTTGCAATTCTTAGCCACTGTAATTCCATTGGGGGTAAACTTTTCTGGTTTCTTGCTGATACTTGGTTGGCTTCCAGTGATTTCAAATAGTTGTTTTCTACTATTTTGTCCAGGGTTTTGGTTGTTACCTCTGACCATTTACTTTGCCATCATTCATAACTGGAAATATAGGATTCAGTCTATTGATTTTATTTTTCTTTGAGACTTCTATGGGACTATTCACTAAGGAGAATTGTGTGAAATTCTGGAAAGACAAATATGTGTATATGATGTATGTTCTTGGCAAACAAAGACATCACACAAGTGATACATCTGAAAAACCCTTTGTAGAGCAACTGAAATTTGAGTTAATAGTACAGCTTAATATTTAAGACTTCAAGAAATGGCAGATAGAGGAGTCAATAGTTATATATAGGGGTCAGGCTTAAAATTTTGATTAGAATATAGTATATGCCACACCAGAATAACATGATTAATATGATTCACATTATTTGAAGGCCATTTTTCTGTTAGCCTTATATGTTGAAGAAAAACTGTACATATAGAAAATGCCAGGATACTTTGTAATTATTCAGGTCTGCTGTTGTGAAAGCTTGACTGCAATAGTGAATGTGGACATGGGAAGAAGGAATAGAATATTACAAAGATAGGATGGGCAACATTAATAGGTTACATACAAGAGGAAGAGAGGGATCAAAATAATGTACTATTTTAGGTCAGTAACAGTGTCTTTTGTAGGAGAGTAGATGTATTTATCTACATTATGTAAATATCAGTAACATGAGCACTTGACCATTTTACTCTGGTAACCATCCATTTCTCTTTCATTACCACTATGTTATCCTAGTTTAGTTCTCATCAGTACCTGGACTACCATTTGGTCAGCTACAAAGTTGCCTAATACAGTGCTAAGTTCTGGGATGCACCAGTGCAAAGGATAGAGGTTTGCCCTCAGGGAACTTAGCTAGTAACAGCAAGTCCCTATGTGGAACTTTCTAAATGATTATCTTTCATAAGCTCTTATGATATAAGACTTTTATAAGTATTTGCTATAAGCTCTTGTTAACTCCTGATCCTTACAGTAACCTTAATGAAGTAGAAGTTACTTCTTTTGTACAGATGAGGAAACTGAGGCACAGAAGGAGATGAAGTAGTGTGTCCAGGATTAGAGAGCTACTAAGTGGCAACACTGGCATTTGAACCTAGGCAGTCTGGCTCCACAATCTGTGCTTTTAAGCACTCTTCTGTATTGCCCAACAGAAAGAACTTAAAGGAGTAAACGTATCTATAGTTGTCTTTGGAGTGTCTTTTTTGACTGTCACAGGATTGGAACTGTAGCGAATTTTTTCCATTTACTTCTTCATTACTTTAGAAGAATTTGAGTGGCTCCAAGAATTTGAGAGGTAGTCTTTGAAAGGCAGACAAAAAGAAACAGAGAGGAGCCTGGCCCAGAGAGTTTGTATAACCTAAGAGGAAGATGGGAACTGTTCAGAAGTGCAAAGTAGAAGTGGGTAAGGGTCATAATAAAAGTATACTTTATAGAAGTTCACAAATGGAAGAAAGGATTCATGGGTGAAGAAGCCTTACTGGAAATGTGGAGTAGTACCTGGGATTTAAAGAACATTATATTTAGATACATGAAAGTGGGACTGGAGGAAACAGTGATACATGCAGAGAGAAAAAATATTAGATACATTGTGGGACTAGGAAATAGGTTAGTTTCAGCTGAAGGGGGCTTGTGGGAGGAGGAATTGTGAGAAAATAATGTTTGGACCCTTGAACACCAAACTAGAGGGTTGAACTTGATTTATGGGCAGTGGAAACCCATTGAAGAATGAAATATTTTTGGTTGATCTACAACATAAATTAGATAGCATGAGGTAGAGGATAGTGGTATTGCAGAGATGAGTTTTGATTTTTGCAGGGGGAGGTTAGGACTTAGGAATATAACAGTCTACACTTTATAGGGAAGGATTCCCAGTTGTCGCTTTGGATTCTTAAGAAAGTGCTTGCATAGGGAAAAATGAAGTAGACACATTCACTGTAAAAGGCTGCTTTTGTGGTTATGCTTATTCTGTAGTATTTTTCATTTTTAGGATCTTTTTAAGCAAACTTACTAACTGAGCTTGCTGGGGAAAGGGCTTGTATTAGAGACTGAACTGACTTGTCATGACCATTTAGGGCCACCCAGTGCTCCTGCAGAAGACCGTTCAGGAACCCCCGACAGCATTGCTTCCTCCTCCTCTGCAGCTCATCCGCCAGGAGTTCAGCCACAGCAGCCCCCGTATACAGGAGCTCAGACACAAGCAGGTCAGAGTGAAGGTAAAATAGAAATAAGAGCACCTATTTGGGGAGGTAAATGTGCAGAGATGTTTATGGCAGCATTGTTGGTGATGGTAAAGAGCTTACATAAGCATTCATGCTATGAATACAGTTGCAGAAATTTTTGATCTACTGATACGGTATGCTTTTGGGTTAGAAGTCAGGTTCTGATTATTGAAAAGAAAAAAAAAACGCTGAAAAGTGCTTATGGGAATATAAATACATGGTAAAAGATCAGGAAGGATTCATAACAGTCACCAGTCAGTGGTAACCAGGGGGGCAGAGGTGACCCACTGAGGTGGCATTTCATTTTGCATCACACTTAAGGTGCTGTTCTATTTCCTTCTCCTTTCCTTTCTTGCATCTATGTATTATTTTTGTAATTGGAAAGATTTTTAAAATAGAGGTAAAGCATAACTTTAGTTTTTTGAAAGATAAATAGCCCTTTAAATTTTTGCGCAGTTAGCAGTATGTCTTTTGTGGAAAAAAGCAGTGTGTTTTAAATCAGACTTCTCTTCTCTAAATGATGTGTCCTTGGATGAACAATTTAATCTCTCTGGGTTTTGATATTCTGTCACTGTAAATTATGAAAATTGGACAAAACTGGTGGTTTTAAAAGAATGTCTCTAGTGCCGAATAAAACATAACTTGAAAGCTGAGTATTTAAACAGATAAAAGGCTCATTACCATGGTTGAAGGGGATTGAGAGGCCACAAGCTCGGGACAGCAGGCACTGAAGTTTAAAAACTATACACATGCCACTTTAAAACAAACACCAGGTGGTGCTCTAACTATTTTTATAAAGGGGCCAAGTGGTGGTATGGTGTATTTTCAGCACCAGAAGTAAGTGACTGAGTTTATCAATCATACTAAAAAAAAAAAAAAATTCATAGCCTAAAAGGAACGGAGCACTTAGGTAATAGAGTCCTAATCGTCTTGTGGCTTTATTTTAGAGTCGTCCTTTTGGATGAATTCTAGGCCTTAGGGTCTAGCAGGTGGCAGTTTACTGATGAGTGGGTAGTTCGGGAAGAATTTCTTACTGCTTCAGCGTCTTCTCAACCAACTTTAGTTATAGTTTAACTTCACTTTGTATTAAGCTGAAACTGCCCAAACTGGAACAAACTGGAACAGAAGCGGGTGTGGTCTGAAACAGGGAGGCAAACGCCAGCGTTTGGATATGATGGGAGTTTAGTAGTTACTTAAATTCCATAGAAGGGGCCTTGGAATTGTAAATAGTTTTCCTAAGGATTTAGGTTTTTTTTTTAAGATTTTATTTATTTATTTGACAGAGAGATCACAAGTAGGCAGACGGGCAGGCAGAGGGAGAGGGAGAAGCAGACTCCCTGCTGAGCAGGGAGCCCGATGTGGGGCTCGATCCCAGGACCCTGGGATCATGACCTGAGCCGAAGGCAGACGCTTAACCAGCTGTGCCACCTGGGCGCCACAAGGATTTTAGTCTTAATATGTTCTTCAGTTCAGGTGAACTGACATTGTTTTTTTTTTTTTTTTCTTTTTTAATCCCATCTTAGGCAGTGTATATGGTTGTAGAACAACAGTTGGAAGGATAATTGTACCAAATAATGTTTGCTTGTTCACTTATAAAGGAATGAGATTTAATGCTCTCTTAATGTCTCTCACATTATTTTATTATGTTTATTTTAATTGAAAAATTGTAAGTAGGTAAAAATTTTAAAATATAAAAAGATAAACAGTGAAAATTCAAATACTCTCTCCCACCTCTGACCCCTAGCGACCAAGTTCCTTTTTCCAGAGGCATCAGGTTAACACTGTTTGATATGCACTGAATTCCTTTAGGGTGGCATTAACTGTGTGCCTTGCTGAAACTGTGTTTTGTTTGTTTTGGTTTTTTTTTAGTTTTCATTAAAACATATACTATAAAAATTGTACCGTTGTTAGTATGTGACATCAATCAGTAGTATTCTGGAGGTGAATCTCTAGATCAGTGCTGTCCAGAAGAAATACAGTGGAAGTCATAAGTAATTTTTTTTAATTCATCAAAGTTTTTAAAAAGGTAAAGCTAATGTTAATTATACATTTTACTTAATGCAGTATCTGGTGTATCAACATGTAATTATTATTAAGAAGTTATTAATGTTTTATATTCTGTTTTTTTGTATTGCATATTGGAAATCTAGGGTGTGACACCACTTAGAAACACTTCAAAAACACTTACAGGATGTTTAGTTAAGACTAGCTGCTTTTCAGGTGCTTTAGTAGCCTGGCTACTGCCTGTTTTATTGGATAGCACAGCTCTGGGTTAAGATGTCAGTTATTTATAGGATAAATTGTAGGCTATTTTAATGAATACTTTTTGACATATGATGTACAATAAGTCCCTGACATCACCATTTAGTTAGATCAGCTGCTGGTTAGAATTTGAATAGAATATTCATCAAAAATCTATTACAAATAATAGGTTAACATAGCAGTCTCTTATAATAGAATATGAAATAATCTAAAAAATCTGAGTTGTTTTACTTAAATACCTTAAAAGGGATCTTGGAATTGTAACTTTTCCCCCCAAGGATTTCAGTCTTAATATGTTTGATTAAAAAGATCAACAAAATGTTGAGCGTCATGAAAAGAAATGAAGTGGACAGTATTACCCTTTTTCATATAAAGCAGGTGCCTCTGTTATTGGAAAACTATGCAGTTGAGTAGTTGCCAAAAATATGGAGATAAGTGGTGAGGTTACAGAGAAGAGCATTAAAAATCATCAGAGACCGGGAGGTATTGCTGTTTGACAAACCAAAAAGGTGAAAAGAATATAATTAAAATATATAAAATCTTGTGACAAGATAATATGACCTAAATAGTCTTTTAAAATCACTTTTATTATAAAATTTTGAAACCTAAACAGAAGTAGAGCTAGAATAATGAACTCCTCATGGATCCGTCATGCAGCCTCAACACTTACCAGTGTTTTAAATTTCTTTTTTCATCTATCCTTCCTGCCCCTCCCTCCTTTTTTAATTTGCTGGGGTATTTTAAATCAAATCCTACCTCTTATTTCACTCAGTTATTTCAGTATGCGTGTCTACTGATAAACTTTTCTTTTAACATAACAACTATGCTGTTACACCTAACAAAATTAAGTGATTCTTAATGTCATTACATACTAGTCTATATTTGAATTTCCTTAATTGTCTCATAATTACCTATTACAGCAGTGGCTTGTTCAAATTAGAAGTATAACTAGATTCACATTTTTCATTTGAGTATGTGTCTTATTTTTCAATCGCTGTCACCCCTACATGTTTCCAAAGTTAAAAACTGTGTATTTTAATTATCAGCTGCTATGTAACAATATATCCCAAAACAGATGCTTAAAACCACAAACATTTATTATCTCATGCAGTTTGAAAGAGTCAGGGATCTAGGAGCAGCTTAGGTAGGTGGTTTGTCTCTGAGTCTCTCGTGAGGTTGTGGTCCTTGGAAGGTTAATCTGAGCTAGAGGATCCTCTTCTAAGATGACTCTCTCATGTAGTTGTTGCCAGGAGGCTTTGGTTCCTCACATGGACCTCTCCTAGGCTGCTTAGGTGACCTCATGCCACGGCAGCTCCCAGCAGAGAGTGAATGAATGATCAAGAGAAAGTTAAGGTAGAAGGTGGCTGTCTTTTATAACCTGTCCTCAGAAATGTCGTGATTTCTGTGCTATTCTTTTTATATATACAGGTCAGCCCTATTGAGTGTGAGAAGGGGACTGCACAAGAGAGTGAATACTCATGTGTTTATGGCTTACTCTTTGCTCTTTTTGTATTGTGAAGTTAATCTTATTTCTAAAAATGTAAAGGATACAAGGAGCTCATGGACAGGAGTCCTATGTGAGTGCTCTAATGTGCAGGGGCTAGTCCCCGAGGCTGGCTACCACTCTGTGTAACAAAGTGCAGTCCCAGGAGGTTCACAGTGACACTCTACTTCATCCTCATCTCTTTCTTCCCTGAGGTGGTAGATTTTATGATGTGTACTTTAATCTGGTGATTCTTCCTGAAAATATAATTCACAAAACTTACATATATATATGTATTTTACTCAAAACACAGCTTACTCTAAACTGTCTCTACCTTGCGTTTTCACTTAGTAATATATCCCATAGTTCTCTTCTTAATGAGTATGTGAAGTTATTCCTCATTTTTTACAACTAAACACAGACTCCTTAATTACATTTTTAGCATATTGTAACAGAGTCTGTTTTGGACTTGAATGAAGTAAGTAAAAGGAATACTTTGTGTGGAGATAGTAATAAACCTCTGAAACTTTTAACCCCAGAGGTGACATTTTCATAATGGGTTTATAGCAGCTTAGGGAAAAAATAGAATATGTGCTTGCTTTAAGAATAGTTATTATATCTGTCAGTTTTTGAGGAAAACAATTATGCTGTAAAATCACTGATGGCAACAGCCTATTTTTTTTTTTTAAAGATTTTATTTGTTTGACAGAGCACAAGCAGGGGGAGTGGCAGGCAGAAGGAGAGGGAGAAGCAGGCCTCCCGCTAAGCAGGGAGCCCAATGTGGGGCTTGATCCCAGGACCTGGGAACATGACCTGAGCTGAAGGCAGTTACTTAACCTACTAAGCCACCCAGGTGCCCCGATGGCAACAGCCTGTTACATGGAGTCTTACTTAATCTCCGCTTTTTTGATGATACCTAAGCTAATATTTATATTAAATGAGGTAATGTATACAGAACTTCTTTTAAACTAAAGCTCTAGAGTTTTGCCTGCATTCCAGTGATGGTTCATATTAGCTGTATTGACCCCAGGTAAATTGCTTAATTTTTCTATATCTGAAATAGGGATTGCTAATAAGGTTTACTCCTCCCGCCATGTATTTATTGCCTCTTTTTTTTTTGTATTGTAGAGTTAATTATTCTAATTTCTCAGAATTAGAACCTATTATCATAATGCTGTACATATTTTTCTCTTTTGATTATATTTCTGTACCAGATTCTGATTACTTCTGTTCTGAAATTTAGTTATGAAATACAATCTGGGATTAAGGTGGTATCTTCCAGGGTAGTTAACTCCTGTACTACCTTTTGTACTATCTGTAAGTCTTAAACCATTAGGAAAGCATTTAAGAAACTTTTGTCAGGTTTTTTTGTTGTTTTATTTGGGAAGAGGATTAATAGTTTAAAAATAGTTAAGTAGATTTTATTTCTATCATAAAATGCAGATGACTGCTTGCTAGGAAATAAGCTGGCTATAAATACAGGCATATCTCATTCAGTGCTGCAGTACATAGGGCTGAGTGGGGAGCCCAGTGGAGTGGGCTCTATCCCTCGATTTCAGGCTGTGAGTGCTAGCTGCCAATTGTACCTCAGTTTGAGTGGTGGCACTAAGATAATGTGACTTCTTCACTTGTCCCTTTCTGCCAGAAATATGCTAATTACTTATAATCTTTTGATTAACAGCAGGTAGTTTGAATATTTTTGAAAGAATTAGCCAGTATATAATTAAAGATTTAAATATTAACTAGATATTAAAATGCACATTTTATTGCTACTCTAGGTATTAGAGTATATAATACCAGTAATACCACCATTAGAACAAGAGATAAAAAAAAAAAAAGAACAAGAGATGAGAAAGATGTGAACCAGTAAATCCTCATTTAGAAATCACAAGTATTAAGTGTGTCCAAAAGGTTTTTCTGTAGGAACTGTGATCTCCTGACCCCAGACAGGACTCTCATTTCCCAGTATACATTCCCAATGTTAAACAGGTCTGCCATTTTCAAAAAAGTGTGCAGTGAGGGACCATTTAGGCTTTATCAGATTCCGCATGATGGGCGAGGATATTCATAAGATGGAAAAACAAACTGTTGGAAAATGCCACAGGTGTCTTTGAGGTCTGCCATGAAAGGTGTCGCATAGTTCCTTGTTACCAGAGAGTCCATTCAGATGGTAACAAAGGTTCAAACCGTTAGAATAAATACAGTGCTTTGGGAGAGATTTAGGAGCTGCTGGTTGTATTTGTTCTTTTTCTCAGATTTTTATTTCTTGATTTTAGACTCAGTTGATTTTTACTGAGCATTAGCAGTACCTATCTGTTGGCAGTTGGGTTCGAAAGCATTTGTTTTTCCAGAATTTATGAAGTGACTGCACTAGTGGTGTTTGCTGCAGCTGAGAGTTCTCTGCCGCTAATCCACAGCAGAGCAGCTACATTTGTTCAGTTGTTCATGCTTCTCTATTTCGCAGCACTTAAAGGGGAACAAACACATTGTTGTGTCTTGTTACTAAGTGTACTTATGTGTTTGGGTGGGGAGAGAATTAAATTGTGCTTTGAAAGTATTTCTCTCTGCCAAATTAAACCTGCCTCTTTTCCTTGTCTTGTCTTTTTTAGGTCAGATGTACCAGCAGTACCCGCAGCAGGCCGGCTATGGTGCTCAGCAGCCACCCCAGCCACCCCAGCAGTACGGTATCCAGTATTCAGGTGAGCGGGTGTCCAGAGGGAGGTGACTTATTGATTGTGAGCTGTTCCTGTACTCATTAAACTTGAATCCTTTCCTCTTAACTCCTTGGTTTGTAATACTTACTTACATTGTCATAGGAGGTGTTAAGTATTTATTTGTGGGAGGAAATAACATTTGTTTATTTTTAAGTATTTTGCATGAATATTTTATTATAAATCAACATTTCAGTCAACAGTCATAGATGATTTTGTAATAACTTGTAGTTTGAAAACATTTTTAACGCAAGCTATCTCGTACTGATATGATCTCCTTATCTCTCGGGTGATTTAGAACAGCAAAAATGCAAGATTTTTTTCACCCATTATATGTCACATATAATTCCAGTGTACTGTAAAAATACTAACATTTTCCTCCTACATGAAAAGGCAGTCTTAATAAATAAGAACCAAATTAAGCTACTTAGGTGTTTAAATCTCCCAGAGTATGTAGGAATACCAAAAATAGGCCAAAAAAATAGACTTGTGTCAAATGTAATCCAGGCAGCTAAGAACGTTGAATATAGTTGTTTTAAATAGGCATTCTGGGTATTTTCTTTTACCTTCTGTCCACTGAAGATTATCCATATTTAAATATGAAATCTCTCTAATGTAGCTTTGACCATGATGATTATAAATCACGTAATTTTACATTTGTTGTATCAGAGTTTACGTTTAACTTACGTTTCACAGCCAAAGATTTAAGTATCAAAAGTTCATGTAATTAAAAATAATTTATCTAGGTTGAATCTTGCCAGAATTTTGTTTTACAGAGTTTTATAGTTCAACTGGAGCAGGAATTAGCAAACTGTAGCCACAGGCCAAATGTGGCACGTCACCAGTTTTTGTGAATTAAGTTTTATTGGAGCACATCTACACCTGTTCATTTTTGTGCTGTCTGTTGCTCTGTTGTGGCAGAGCTGAGTAGTTGTAGCAGAGACTGGCCCACAAAACCTAGAATATTTACTCTCAGGCTCTTCACAGAAAAAAGTAGGTCATGACTCCTGCACTAGACCATAAAATTCTATCTGTAATTGGAGTTTTGACCTACTTTCACGCATATGGCAATTTTTATTTGGATTATATTTGCTACAGAGTGATTTCGCCTATAGCTGTTAGTTTTTAATTATGTAAAGTAAGTGGGATGAATTTAAACTTGGATTATAATATTAGGATTATTTTAGGTTTGCAGTCCTTTAAGGTCAGAGTGTTATAAATTATATAATTTATAGAAATAATATCAGAACTGAAAAGACCTAGTCATCATTCTAATCCAGGGGATTTCAACTCCCTCTGTGCTTCAGAATCACCTGGAGAGCTTTTTTTTTTGAAAGTTACAGGTGCCTAGGCTCTACTCCCAGATATTTTGTTTGATTTGGTTAGGAGTGGGACTCAGGCTTTGATATTTTAAAAGCATTGCAGGTCATTCTAAAGTGCAGGCAGGGTTGGAAACCATTTGTCTTTGTGTCACCCACTCATTTTATAAATGAGGCAGTTAGGGTTCAAAGAGGTTGTGACACATGGAAGGACACAACAGCCATTCAGTGGGGGAACTCAGAGCCAGTGTACTTGACTTTGCTGTTAATTATTTATATCATTCTGCATTCTCCAGCCTAGGCCAGTGGTAGCAGACTTACCTGCCATAAAAGGCTAGGTAGTAAATATTTTAGACTTTGTGGATCTTAACGATCCCTTATCCTACACTACTCATTAATTTTTTTAAAAAGCCCGTAATTTCCATTTCTTGAGATTTTTGTTCTTCACCAAAGTTTTTCAAGGGAGAGGGTGGGGCTATACACATAATAGAAGCATTGCCACATTATGATCAAAGACTAATAGGTTGCTAATGAAATGGCATTTAGGCCCATAGGAGTTATTCCCTCTGTTGAGAAATAATTAAGGATCTGGTTGTTCCCAGACTCAGTTAAAAATCCAGTCTAGATTTCAGCTGCCAGGATGAAAAGGCAGCAGCATTTTGCTCATAGTCTTAACTTGTATAGACATTTTCAGTGTAAAAGCTGAGTCCTTCTGTTTCTCCAAAAACTTACAGTAAAAAAATGAAGCGGATAAATTTTATGTAGAAGATAGGAGAAGTTGTATGACATTCAAGATTTTATCATGAATTGACTTCAATATTTGGATGCTACCATAAGTAAAATGCCTTAGATACTTGATTTACTTATTAAAAGTTAAGCTTGTTAATGATTTTAGTCAGTCTTCACTCGAGTAAAATTTAGTTTTCAAATCATCATCTTTGTATTTCTGATCCCACTAGTCCTATTAACTTGAATTTGATTGGGAGATGTGGAAATAGTCACCTAAATGCTCTGCTTGGAGACTGTAAGTGGTGGTGGTAACATTGGACCATTTTTGACACTGTTGGTTTGGCAGTTTCCCTCTGACCTTTTCCAGTTTTACTCATGGACTATGTCAAAAAGGTTTCTTTCATGAGTAAATTTTGAACCCAGGTTCAAGGTGAGTTCAGAATATACTCAAATTCATTCAATCCTTTTTTTGTTTTTTAAATGCAGGGTTGTACATATTTTAATTATTTTCTTATGTATCTGGTATTTAATGCTGACAGGATTCCAGTCATTGGAGAGGTTTCATTGCAAGTAGCTGCAGGTGTGTTTCATGGTAGAGATAAAAGTTTTCAGTGAAGCCGACTTGTTCTTTTAAAAAAATTGAAAAAAAAATCCTAGTTAATAATGAATGTAGATGTTGATATTGTGGGGCAATATCATATGCTTTTTATGTGTTATGCTGTTACTTCTAAGTCAGAATTCTGAGTTGTAAAGGCAAAAGATCAGATACCAAATCTAAAAGATTTTAAGGATTGTGAAAATGGGTACTTAATATTTATTCTTAAGTGGCTTAGTTTTTATAGAAAGTGAGCCTTAAAGCATCTCATTAGCACAGTAAGATGTATTTGTAGCACCATTGCTTCATTTAAAAATACTGTCTCAATGTGTTTTTACTTGGTATAGTTGTTAAATAGGCCTCTCCTCCACACCAGGTTAATGACTAGCTTTACGTTAATTCCTGCATTTATCATTTGAACATCTGTTCTGTACTAGGAATTATGCTACAACAGGTATTTGCTCTTAGGGATTATGTAGTATAGAAGCATTTGTAATGAAATATAGAGTGGTTTCAGTTTAGAATAGAGGGTTTAAAAGAACTGTTTAGAAAATATCTTTTTTTGATACTATTTGGTTTTGAAGTGATATTATAGGATGGACTATACTACTCTATTTGTTATATAAATACTTAGGAATAAGTTTAAATTTCTCATCTTTTTTGGTCCATAACAGTAAGACTAATTCTCTGGAAAGCCTTTCACCAAAAGAAAAATAAGATCTATATGTACTTTATTTTGCCTTTTCAGCAGGCTATAGTCAGCAGACTGGACCCCAACAACCTCAGCAGTTCCAGGGATATGGCCAGCAACCAGCTTCCCAGGCACCGGCTCCTGCCTTTGCTGGCCAGCCTCAACAGCTGCCTGCTCAACCACCACAGCAGTACCAGGCGAGCAGTTACCCTCCACAAACTTACACTACCCAAACTTCTCAGCCTACCAGTTATACTGTGGCCCCTGCCTCACAACCTGGAATGGCTCCAAGCCAACCCGGGGCCTATCAGCCGAGACCAGGTTTTACTCCACCTCCTGGAAGTACTATGACTCCACCTCCTAGTGGGCCTAACCCTTATGCACGCACCCGCCCTCCCTTTGGTCAGGGCTATACCCAACCTGGACCAGGTTATCGATAAAGAGTCTCAGCTACACTGATGAATGTAGCTGATAGCGGTTTGCCTCCCAAAAGACTCCAGTACTACTATTTTAATTTGTATTGAAGTTCAGAAATTTAAAAAGCAGAGCATTTTTTATGGTATCATTGTTGCTGTTAATTGAAAGTATAATTTGCTGGAACACAAAAAGATCAAAATGAAAAAGTTTTTTTCTTCCCTTGCTTAAAAGTGTAGCAGCTGCCTAGTTATTTTGGAACACTACTCTGATGTGCGTAAAGTGATTGACTTTCTAGCTTGCCTTGTCCGGAGGATATTAAAACGCTAGGTTGAAGTTTAGCCATCTGAACTTGGCTTTTTATTATTAACATGATGTACTAAAATATAGATCCCTTTGAGAAAACAACTAGGTATTATGTATAAAATGTAACATTGATAGGTTAATAAAGATAATTGAATCCATTAGTGGTCTTGTATATGTTAATGACTAAATTACATGAGAAAAAAATTCTTTTTGCTGTTTGGTCTCAAAATGAAGTATAGGCGTTTTAACTTACAGTTTTCTGTTCCAAGAAACATGGTACCATTTGATTTTTTGTCCTGACTTTGAAAGAAATGCATTTAATCAATCATTGGTTTAAAACAATGAAACTTTTTTAAAATAGATTTCAGAGGAAGACAAATTAACATTACATACAAACACAACAGATATGGGGGGGTTGGGTAGATCCTGAATAACTTACAGAGGTGAATCATTGAGAAATGAAGAACTCAGTCTTAAAAAAACTACATCTCTTTATTGCAGAGTTTATACTTGCTTGAAAAATACAAAATGTAGCATCGATAAACTTGAAGCATGTTGAAGCAGAGGAAAGGTCCTTTCAGGAAGAGGGCAACAATGCAGCATTCCCATGTCCCTCCGCAAATGAAGGACTTTTTTTTTTAAAATAAATGAGATTTTCATTACAGGTTGAGTTAGACAAAATTATGAAAACATTCTCTGATACATTCATTCCTAGAGGTCTAAAAATAGAGTACATGGCCTGTAAAGTGGTAGGGATGTCATGCATTACTTCTGTGCTCAGACTTCACATTCAGTCTCTATGTACAGCTTCATTAGAATTCTATTAACAACAGTATGAAGACAAATCCCTGCTTAAAGGGATAGTTTGACAAAGTACATTCAGACATTGTAACATATTTATGGGTAGAGAAAGAACAAAATGTGTATTTTGAAATTGAGTAGATCAGATATTCTAACAGTTTTCAGTAATTTGCAAAGATTTAAGGAAATGTGTATCGGCATGAATGGTTAACTATTGAAATGGCGTCAGGGAAAGCTATTTAGCTATTGCTAAAAATTTGAAGTTTATATAAACATGAATATTAGGACCTTTTTTCCCCCAGATACAAATGCTCAGATAATTTGATCTAATAAGTTAAACCAAGTTGAGATTTATGGAATTAACTCACCAGTAAGAATACACTTTAATAAAATATTTTTTTAAAAGTATATTAGTTTTTGATGTTAAATTTGTTATAAAAGTATCTCAAAACATCATTACAACAGAGTGATAAATAATATACAAATGATCTCTTAAAATACCATGGATAGGGAGCCAGCTTCCCTAAAAATGTTATCCTGTTAATGTCAATATCTTGTTTTCTTAAAATGATTTTGTAAAACCTGATAAATATTCTCAGCAACATTTCTAATAAACATCTACTATGGCTATTAAACTTTAATACATAGTAAACATAACAGCTTTAAATGAATGTGACAAATACTATAGTGTTTCCAATTATTTTTTTTGCCATGATAAACAGAAGGCACTTTTGATCCTGATTGCAGCATCTACCATTTTCCAGGAATTGTGGTCCCACATTCATACCACTGGACATAATTGATTTGGGTGTGACCACCTATTTCTCCAAATTGGACAGGTTCCTGACGAACTGCTCTGAAATAGCCTAAGAAGGGAAATAATTTTATTTTAATAGCTGCTATATTTTTGACCTCACCACTCACAGATTGAAGGGTGTCCTTGAATGGCTGAATGTTACTCTAGGTGAAGTGTTTTAGAAAATGGATAGCAACAGGGAGCCTGGTGTCTTCCCTGAGGTTGTAATGGCTGGCTAAACATGAGGGGCACCTGAAACTCCTCTGACCTGCGCTTTAACAAGGTGGGATGAGCCGGTTGGTAGTGTCTGAGAGACAAAGCTGAAAAGGGACAGAGTCGGAGGGGTTTTGTGTTTTGAGTGTGATTGAGCACATTCATTATAGTCTACACACAGTACGGACTGGTTGTGGTCTATGAAGGTGCTATTTACTACAGTGTTAGGAAACAAAAGGGTAGTTCTAAGAACGCTAAATTTCTAAAAATTAAACTTAGGTGAAATCTTCCTTCGAGGACTCTACGCTAAATGATTAAAATTTTTGCTGCGAATGTAAAATGTTTTGGCAATATACACAATTTACAGTATGTTTTATATCCAATTCCTGAGAAGCAGCAGTTGCAACTTCCTGTTAATGGGTTCACAGATAAAAACACCAGCCATAGTAAAAGAGGACTTAAATGCCATTGAACAAAATGTGTTGCTGAAAAGACGAGTCAAATAATGCAGAAACCTCTTAGTGATTGCTGAGTAATATGGACAATAATTTACTCTCTCCTGCCCTGCCTAAGGATTAAATTTCAGTCTTTTAAATCCTCATGGAGCAGCTTAGTGCTAATGTCTTTAGCAAGTTACAGTGGTTATTCATTACTCACCAGAATTGTTCAGTTTTAATTATATTTATGTGGCAAATAATAAGGGAATAAAAAAATGCCTGTGTGCTCTGTATAAGGTAATACAGGAGTGATTAAAGTTGGGAAACGCTACTCTTCTATAGCTGTTTTTGCAAATTGAAGTGTTCCTGAAGTAGAATGTCTTTATAGATGTCTGTGTAATTTCCCTTAGCTCTAAAATAGAGTCTTAAGGACTGGGAGGAAAGTTGAAACACTTCTATTAAGGTCTTAACGTGAAAGTCTTTTTTTCTAGTCAGATAATTAGAGCAGTAGTCCTGCAGAATTATTTTTAAAGTGATTGCTTTCCTTAGCTTGAATTCTGTGTTAATTTGTAAAATCCTATTGCTTAAGAGGAGGCTCAGAAAACATACCTTCTTTGGTGGGTAACTGGTCAGAACTGAATTGCTGTCCTGTGCGTCCATCTAAAAACGAGTCCACAAACTGGCAGTGGTCTTCTCCATGGCCTCTCTGATCGCCTATGTTATAAAATTTTCCTAAGGAATGAGAAAAGGATCATGAAGTATTACTATTTTTGATAGAGGACAATTCTGAAATATTCAAAGTTTTTCAGATAGAGTCTTTTCCGTTTTTGTACTCCGCCCCCCCCCCCCACCGTAGCTCCAGCCACCAGTGTCTCTTGACTGAACTATGGAAGTCTTTGAGCTGCCACCACTGCTTTTATTCCTTCCTCTCTCTAACTCCTTCCCTCCCCCCGCTCCCAGAGATCAGTCATCTTTTTAAAATGCAGCTCAGATAATGTTACTCTTCATAAATCTCTCCTGTAGTCTCCTATTATAGTCAAAAGAAAACCCCAAATCCTTACCTGGTGTCAGAGCTCCTCATGATTCTACGCCTGCCTGCCTGACCTTCCGCTTACTAAGCCTCAGCCACACCAGTAGCACTCGCCGGGCACGTGCTGGCAGGGACCTTTGCCTTTCTCTGTCTACCTCTAATGCTTCATCCCTGGATTTTTGCTGGGGTGGTTCCTTCTCATAGTTTTCTTCTTAGCACAAACCTTAGCTGTTCAGAGAGGCCATTCTAACTAAAGAAGCTTCCACTCGGCCATTTTCTCTCACCCTTTCTAATTTTTCTTCAAAGCACTACATGCAATTTTTATTTACATATTTGTGGTCTGTCTCTACTAAAATATAAGCTGCAAGAAAGCAGAATGTTTTGTGTACCGCTTTGTCCTTAGCATCTAGAAAACCTCTGAACAGAGCAGCTGTTTGTTGAATGACTGACCAAATGTCTACCTTTCCATGTTGGGGCCAGCCTTGTTTAAAATTTTTACTGCATGAATGCAAAAGAAAAAATAACAGCGCCACTGAGTCTGGAGCAAGGAGTTATCACTCTTCGGTCAGGTGTTTTGATCTTGTCTCTGGGAGACTTGAAATCTTAATCTTAAGTATGCGATGATTGTTACATACACTCATTTTATTATCAGTAGGTTCTCTGTCCCTGGCGGCTGTAACAAAATTGAGCTTCAGTGGGGCAAGTGCCTTTACATTCAAGTTTTCCTTGATGATTTTGTTTCATACTGCATTTTCATTATTTACATTCTAATAGCATGCCTCGAATCCCAGGCTAAGTATTTCAGTAACATCTTGCTCAGAAGGAAGAACGGTGTTTGTATCACACCTTAGTGTCTGGAGCTAGCCACAGAAAATGCCATGTTACAGAACGCTGTAAAGCATTCCCCGAAGGCTTGAAACAGAGCCGGTAGTGTTACTTACCTGTGAGGGAGTCACTCAGATAAATCTTGTATCGGAGAGAGTTGCACAGCTGCACCCCTACAAATTTTTTATACCATGTCCGTTTGACATACTGTTTGCCGTTACATTCTGAGTAAGAGTCTGAGTTAAAGGGTCTTTCAGTCCAGATGGCATCTCTCCCTGCTGCATAAGGAAAACACATGCTTTGAGTTTAGCATTCAACTTTGGGTATTGAAGAGCTGTCCTAAATGTTTTATAAAAAGCTGTTTGCAAAGTTCATTGTCAACCTGCTGATACCTTGTTTTCTCCAGTGCTAAATATTGGAGCCAAAATAATGTATGAGTTTGAACATAAACTCCCAAGTTCCTGTCAATAGTGAAATAAGCAGTATGTTTAGGTTTCAAATAACCTATGCAGGGCTAGATGTAGATAGCATCCCCTTATGAGCAAATTTAATTTTTTGGGTTTTTTGTTTTTGTTTTTGCTTTTGTTTTTTTTTTGTGGGTTTTTTTTGTAGCATAGTATATAATTTAAACAGATGCTTTAATGTGACTTGTCATTAAAAATGGACATGAGGATGTTATATCTTGACTTCAATTTTGAGCTGCCCTGGCATAAGAATGAAAGCAAGTTTCAAAATACCCAACTTGTTCCCCAAACATTATAGGTTCCTCAATGTTAGGGAATGTTTTAGGTAAGCATTCCCACCTGGCTGATAGTCTAAGACTAAATGGACTAAAATGAAATCATGACCAAAATTCTGCCATTCTTATTTAGTTGAATCAGTTTAGAAAAGCATGTAGTTGTGTTCATGCTGAGACAGGTACTTACCAGAAACTGGCTCGCTCACTCTTGGGTCCGCTAAGAGAAATAGCAAACAGAGAGTCAGATGTTACCTTAGGTAAGTAAGCCCCAGTGTGCCAGTGGCATAGGGAAGAAGATGGATGCTTACGGTTAAGTCTGACTTGCAGAGTGGTACACTCTTGCTAAAGACGGAATTTGAAAGTGTATTTTGTTTGTTTTAGAATTATTTTCCATTGAACAGTCTCCTGCCAGGTACTCAGCTTTATCTTTTGGAATCTTTGTTGCTCTTCAGGCTCTCACTCCATTTTAAGGCTTCCTCTTTCAGACTCAGAAACTATTGGTGGTAAAATCACCAATATGCCATGAAGTACAGTTGGTTTAAAAATGACACAAATAATGCTGTGAGTACAGATGTCTCTTTTAAAGGAATTGGAGTGTACAAGGTCAGCAAATTTCACAGCTGCTCATCAAAAACCTACCAAATGAATTTCCTTTCTGGACGTCCTATGACTGTGTCTGATATTTTGATTCTAGGCATTGATTCTAAGCATACAGAGGAGCATTCATTCACTAGTTTTTTTAGTATACTGATACAGTTTTTAATCTTTTAAACTGATATGCCTTTTTTTCTGACATCAAAAGAAATGAGAAAAGATGTATGTAGTTTCCTTAAGGCTACCTTTACCAATTTGCTTTTTCAAAATTCAAGAAACGCTTTATTTATACGCTGTTTATTTAGCTGGGTTTCAAAGAAGCTTCTTAGGCAAAACATTGTGGCCCTTTACATTACTGTTGATGTGATTACCTGATTCAGTACTGAATGCCACTGTGTTGCTGGGTGGGCCTTCTCCAAGTGGGTTTTTGGGTTTCACCTGGAATTCATAGCTGTATAGGAGAGAGAAATTTTTTTTTTTTAATTGTAATATATTCTCCAGGAGTAGGAAACAACCTTCCTTTGTTATACTGAAATCCTTCCTAATTCTATTTTGAAATCATGAGGACAGTGAGTACACATATATTTGAGAAGCAGCATGGGGAAATAAACTCTTTACTTTCCAAACACCTTGTCAAATGTTTTGTATAAGGATTAAGTTAATAAAAAAGATTGGAGTTTTTAAAAAGACAGCTAACTAGTAGAAACAACTAGGCAAGTTGGTAAGGAACATACAGGAAAGAGGTATGTGGTGGACCCAGGCTAATTCCAGCAACAAGGAGTCTTTCCTTCAAATGTTTTAGCTGCTTAGCTTCTTAATGGAAAGTTTGCCTTTTATTTATTATCCCAACCCTGGGTATGGTGTCAGTCTTAGGCACTGTTTTTCCTTGTGGGGCTTGAACTACCTATGTCAGAATCCCATGACAGAGGGGCATTTGGGAAAGTTTGTTTAACACGCAGATTTCTTGCTTCATCTTGGCTACTTAATCAATTTTTTGAGGGGGTCTAAGTAGGCATTTATAACAAGTTCCTGAGGTGAATCATAATACCCACTGACATTTGAGAACTGCTAGGCTAAGCTAGGGGAACAGATGCACATGAAATTATTTCTTTGCAAGGACTTCCTATTTCTATCTCCTGGAATTCTGGTGTTCTGTCCATCACAGGAAGCCACATTTCCACAATAGGGAAATGGTAGTATCACCATGAAGAGCATGGGCACAAATATTGACTTTTCCTGTATAAAGCAGATTCATATAGGCTAGGCCTTAACTCTTTACATTAAAAAACAAAACACAAAATAAACCTAGATGCCTTGGCATTCTATGTTTGAGTCTAAGAATTATGCATTAACTCGCTAGGCAATATGACACATTTCATTCATAGAATACTTAAACAGAGCAAATCCTCTTAAGAAATTCAGGAAGTGGGGCACCTGGATGGCTCAGTCATTAAGCGTCTGCCTTCGGCTCAGGTCATGATCTCAAGGTCCTGGGATCAAGCCCTGCATTGGGCTCCCTGCCCAGCAGGAAGCCTGCTTCTCCCTCTCCCACTCCCCCTGCTTGTGTTCCCTCTCTCGCTGTCTCTCTCTCTGTCAAATAAATAAATAAAATCTTAAAAGAAAAAAAAAAAGAAAGAAAAATTCAGGCATTAAAGCTGTTTGCATTTGCCTGAAACTAATAAGAGTTCTTTTCAACAGCAGACTTCGCAGGAAAATATTTTGAGTGTAAAATCAACTTGAGTCAGCTGATAGTATTTCGAGTCTCAAATTTGTACAAGGCTTTTGGGAGATAATTCCCATTTTTGAGAAGTTTGTAATTGAATAAGAATGCAGAACACATAAAAGATGGAAATACGTTTTATAAATGAGTGAAAAACAGAAGGAAGACAGCTCCATTTGAAGTAACAGCTTTCTGGAGCTCCAGGAAATCAGATTCTTGACTACTGAAGCATTGCATTACAATACAGCTAGAATCTAAGATGACAGATTCTGGGATTACAACAAAGGCAACCACTGTTTGCTATATATCAGACACATTAATTGTACATATATAAAATAATACAACACACACATAAATGCTACAAGATCAGAATTACCCTATTTTTCGGTTAAGAACAATGAGACTCTTAATCATTGTACTATTACTGTCTGCTTTTGCAAACTGCAATGAGGATTAAAGCTTCCAGGGTTTTTAGTGAGACTACACATCAAAGCATTTTGTAAACTTAATCAACTGATATAAGGTGCCATTATCGCTTGCAATAACAATGCTGATAGAAAACCATGTCACTCATTTAAATAAATTGCATGCACATAAGATATTTGGGCATGGAACATTTTCTAAAGATTAAATTCTTGCTCAGAGGCCTGAGGACCTTAAAAAAACACACACACTATTATGGTGAATGGAAACTGGAAAAAAGAAATTACAAGCATCTGGACCTTGATTTAAGCGGGCAGTGCATTCCACATTCCAGGCCATTGCCAAAAACCCTGTGCTTGGGCCAAGTCTGATTGCTGGAATCATCTCTATGTCTTTTTATTTCACTGTTTAATTTAGACTTCAGCTCCCCAGATGTTCATACGCTACTTTTAATGTTTTCTTGCCAACACTTTATGATACTTGACAAGTTTTGAAGAAACCATTTAAAACTAAGTTTAATTAACAGTAGGGAAACTAAAAGGCCTATATTGTTGGGTGATCAAACCCTACACAAAGAAAATATTTGAAGTGGCAAAATCTTTCTCAGCACATTCTATCACGAGATTTAGAACACTCAAGGTCTAAGAGTAATGTCTCAGAAAATACTGATTTCACATAGGGAACAAGCATAGGATGCTATTAAAAGTTTTCATAAAAGATGTTATTTTTTTAATATTTTATTTATTTATTTGAGAGAGAGAGCACGAGACGGGGGGAGGGTCAGAGGGAGAAGCAGACTCCCTGCTGAGCAGGGAGCCCGATGCGGGACTTGATCCCGGGACTCCAGGATCATGACCTGAGCTGAAGGCAGTCGCCTAACCAACTGAGCCACCCAGGCGCCCCAAAGATGTTATTTTTGAATGTAGAACAAAACATTAAATAGAAGTTTTGGAAGACCAAGTTATACAAATACTAGGACAAAAACTCAGATGAAAAATAAGCAAAAATAAGGAAATCTGATTGTTCTAGGGAATATAACACCTAACTAGTAGATTCCAGAAGGGAGAGATGGGGAAAAGGGGCACATTTATCCCAGAAAGTAATTTCTCAGAGTTGAAAGACATGGGTTTCCAGATTTAAAAGGTCTATATCCTCAGCAAAAGTTAAAAAAAGAAAAAAGACTAACCAAAGCAGACAAGTTGAAAAATTTTAGAGCATTGGGATAAAGACAAGATCTTAAAAGTTTGAGAAGAAAATTGGTCCCATTGAAAGGATCCAGACTCAGAATAACATTTGACTTCTTAGTGCTGGAAGTTAGAAAACAATGAACAGGGGCACCTGGGATGCCTGGGTGGCTCAGTCGGTTAAGCGTCTTTTGATTTCAGCTCAGGTCATGATCTCAGGGTTGTGAGACTGAGCCCCACGTTAGGCTCTGCACTCAGTGTGGAGTCTGCTTGTCCCTCTCCCTCTGGTCCTCCCCCTGGCTTTCCCCTATCTATCTCTAAAATAAATTAAATACTCAAAACAAAACAAAACAAAACAAAAAAAACAAAACAGTCGAGCAATACCTTCAAAAGTCTTCATTTTATTCTAAAATCTGTGTCTGCCTAAACAACAGTATCAGGAAAACAAGGATATTTCTGGACATATAAGAACTCAAAAATATTATCTTTCATATAATAATCTATTCTAAAGATGTATTTCTCAAGGAATGCCACAAAGGAAGGGAGTAAAATTAGACAAAGGATATAGGAGATGGGCAAAAGGATGGTGACGGAGTCTAGGAGATATTGCCATAAACAAACACATGGAACAAAGAAATGATGTATTTTGCCTTCTTGAGAAATGGTCAGTTTAGAAACACGGATTTAATTAACAGAAGAAATAGTGAAGATAATTGAAAATGCAAGAGAGTTGACTAAGATGGTGAAATAGAAGGCTCCTGAGCACCTCTCCTCCCACAGGCAAATCATATATATAGCTGCACATGGAGTAGTTCTCTCTGAAAGATCTAGAAACTAGCCAAGCAGCTCATACACATCGGACAAATGAAAGAATACCCACATTGAAACGGGTAGGAAAGGCTGAGACACACTCTTGCCATAAACCCTGCTCCTGGCACAGTGTCCTATAATTGGGAGCAAATTCCCGACTCCCAGCTTCTCCATGAGGAGCAAAGGGTTTGGACCTCACATCTAGTACCCCAACTTTTAAGACTCCCACCTGAGGGATGAGGCCCATAAACACCTAGTTCTAAAAGCCAATAGGGCTTCCATTCACAAGTCCCACAGGACTGTAGCCAAGAAGCAGTTCTTAACCAGCTAAACCACCAGGGCTTAGGACAGAGGGAATAGGCAAAACTACCCATATACCAGTCTTCCCCGAAAGAGGTTTATTTGCATACTTTAAAAGCTGCTATCTGATGAACATAGGGGAAGGGAAGGAAAAATAAAATAAGATAAAACCAGAGAGGGAGGCAAGCCATAAGAGACTCTTAACTATAGGGAAACAAACTCAGGGTTGCTGGAGAGGAGGTGGGGGGGGATGGGGGAAATGGGTGATGGACATTAGAAGGGCACTTGATGTAATGAGCAGTGGGTGTAATATACAATTGATGAATCACTAAATTCTACTCCTGAAACTAAGAATACACTTTATGTTAACTAAATAGAACTTATATTAAAAAAAATTTTAAAAACCTATCTGAGGGTGAGGCTTCTAATTATAACATATATGTACTGGCTGGCTGCAATCTTCACCAGAGACTGGGAAACTGGTGGACGCCTTTCTTGTCCCCTCCCTCCAGCCTGCTGCAACAGTAAAACTAAGTCACCAGTGTCTCCCTGCAAGCAGTGTACAAATGTCTGGCACCCCAGCTTTTGGAGCTGCTGTTCAAGGGATGTCCCCTGTTGCCTGGCTCTCAGAACCAATGGGGCTTGCATCCTTGAGTCCCATAATCCTGTAGCACACAAAGCAGTTTTTAACAGGTACAGGAGCACTCCTACTGGCTATATCCTGGGCCTAGCAGAGAGAGAGCAGGCAAAAATGCCCATCTTCCAGTGTCTCTCTGGAGGGGGGATTAAGTACATAGTATCCTAGCTGCTCTCTGAGGGTCCAATTTATATTAGCCTGCATCCAGGTGCTGATTGCAATTCTCACCTTTGGAACAATGATGGGTTTTGGAGCACCCTCAGCTATGGGGAGCCACTAACAATGAAGCAGGTGGCTGGAACAACCTCAGAGGTTTGAGGGACAACTAGGAACTTGGGCTGGTCTGATTCAAGAGATCCATTTCCTACACAAGACCA